GGATGGGAGGTAAATCTGTCAAGAAAAGGTGCTAAGCCTGAGGGACCACAACTCCGTGACCAGTATCACGTAGCACTTTTTTTTACTTTCTGAAATGTTGACAAATGTACAGGATTAACACAAACTGGGTATCCAAAAGCACCCATCATCTGAAACATGATACCCTTTCTTGGTCTTCCTAATCCTGGGATTATTACTTCTACTAAACTACTACTAGATAGTCATTTCTCATCAAACTCTTAAGTTTTGGAGAAAAAAAATAACATAGATATGGAATAGGAGACAGATAATTTTGGTTAGACAATATATCACAACAAAATAGCCCAGAAACATGTTGCAGTCATTGCTATGTTTGTTTTAAGCCATGGTTTATATAATTATCATTTTAAAATCCTGGTTTGCTGAATAAGAGGCAGCTGGATTTACATGACAGTAACCCATAAACGATGGTTTACAGCAGCAGCGACTGAGTTTACACATTGCACTAGTCAAAATACACATCATATGGTGTGAATCCATTTACTTTAGAAAAGGATATTGAATATTGAATATTTGAGAAAATAGGAGCTGTGGTGGCATGTGATGGGTGAGATGGTACATTTGCTACTGAGAAAATTTCACTATGTAGATAGCTGATGTATCAGAGCACATCAACTATAAATCTTCCTATTTATTTGAAGCAAATTTGCTTTTTTGAGAAGAAAGGTGCCTCGTTTATATCAGGAAGTTCTGGAGAAACAAGAGAGCTGGGCTACCTGCTTCTTTTTAATGTCAGTTGGCTTGTAAGAATTTGCCAGACTGTGACAACATGTCTTCTGTTGCTTTACTAGAAATATTATGCTGAATTTACCAACACCGTCAACGAGAAAGCAGTTTAAAAATGAAACAGAGTTTGAAATGTTCTTTCTGTGCTCCCGTGTCTCAGCTATACATTTCAAAATTTATGTTGGCTCCTCCAACCCTACAGATTCATGTTTTTTCCAGCAAGGTTTAATAAGCTCTGTAAATACAAACAGCTACTCTCTAAGCAGAGAACATAAAAAGAATAGAACAATATCTCAGCTGGGAGGCTCCATCTGTTCATGGCAAGTTATACTACCTAAAAGAAGAAATACAATCAGAGTAGAGTTTTGTTAGGTGTAAAGGTAGTCCTCAACTTAAGACTGCAATTGAGCCCAACATTTTTGTTGCTAAGTGAGACAGTTGTTAAATGAGTTTTGCCCCATTTTATGACTTTTTTTGCCTTTTTGTTAAGTGAATCACTGCAGTTGTTAAATTAGTAACAAGATTGTTAAGTGCATCTGGCTTCCCCATTGACTTTGCTTGTCAGAAGTTGCAAGAGGTGATCACATGACCCCGGAGCACTGCAACTGTCCTAAATATGAACCAATTGCCAAGCATCTGAATGTTGATCATGTGACCATGAGGTTGCTGCTACAATTGTAAGTGTGAAAAATGGTCATAAGTCACTTTTTAAAGTGCCGTTGTAACTTTGAACGGTCACTAAACAAATGAGGACCTGTATAACATTTCAACAACAACAAAAGAGGAGAGAGTAAAACATTTTTCTGGGCACATGCAACTGAAAAACCTTATGATAAAGCCACAGAATTTCCCAGCCACAGCCATGATAGGACCATGTGCTACTATTTGCGGCTCTCTTGACTACCAACACAGAAGCTGCTGAAAACATTAAGAAAAAGTCACATGTAGTATTTAATCTTTGGAAAGCAGCTTATTAAATAGGCAGACCAATTCCATGCTAACATTGTATACTGAAAGGAAACGGCACAGACAGTGGTGGTATTCAACCGGTTCGCACCACTTCGGCAGAACTGGTAGCTAATTTTTTGTTGCCCAGGCCCAGAATAGACTTCCGGAAGAGGCATCCACACAGAGAACCGGTTGTTCACATATTAGAATCCCACCATTGGGCACAGAGATACTGTATTCAATGCCTCTAAAATCTGGGATTCCCTAAGTGATTAGCATGGCCTCTTAACAGAATAACAGAGTTGGAAAGGACCTTGGAGGTCTCTAGTCTTATCTTCTAGTCCAGAGGTCCCCAACCTTGGCAACTTTAAGACTTATGGACTTCAACTCCCAGAATTCCTCAGCCAGCTTGGCTGGCTGAGGAGTTCTGGGAGTTGAAATCCACAAGTCTTAAAGTTGCCAAGCTTGGAGACCCCTGTTCTAGTCCAATCTTTTGAAACTTCAGCAGTCCTGGCCTTTTCAATGTCACTGCTGTGATATTGGAGAAGGCAGGGCACAAAGTGACGGTCATGACAAGCTTTAGATATCCTTGCTCCCCAATCTCTCTCCTTCCTATCATACCTTCTAATAGCCCTGGATTTCATACATATATGACACTGTACATACATGAAGATTTATTTATTTATTTATTTATTTATTTATTCATATATATATATATATGTTCAAAGTCAGTCAATAGACGTGAGCACCAGGGAATAAATAATTTAATAATAATAATTTAGAGATAAAAGTTCTTAAGAATATTAAAAACCTTTAAAATACATAGAAATCAATAAAAGTGCCTAGCTTTCGTCGGCATCCGCTGACATCTTCAGGGCTTAGAATGCTTGTCAATGGGAAAGTCCCTTTATAGGTTTAATTAGGGCGTGTGCACGACTCTTCGATCTCGTCACTGGGCCGGTTATACTAGAATGTACTCCAAGCACCGAGTTCTTATTGGGAGTTGTCCTTCCCACATGATCCGTATCAGTGTAAGTAATAGCAGGGGATGTCCTTTCTTGGAGGTTTAGCGCGGGTAAAGCCTCTACNCCCCCCGACATGGCATGGGTTGGCCTACCCACCCTACCCCCCCCCCACACCCCCTAAAAATTTCTCAAAACACCCCACTAAAAACCTAACCAATTTGGGTTTTTTCCCACTAATTACTGCTGCACACCACCTCTCGGGGCTCCACACCCCTTCATCAAGGTGGGCCCTTGAGAGTGTACTGGGCCAGGTCTGCGCGGCGGGGGAGTCACGCAGAGCCAGCAGAACCGTCCTGTGGATCATTCGGTAGGAACAAGTCCGGCTGTGAAAAACCAAAAAAGGGGTGAGGGGGGGTGGTGGAAACAATCCTCGTGGAGTTGGTAAGATGGTAAAATTGGTGAGCCAGGTCAAAGCCCAACCAAGTCCAACATCCAGCATCCAGCCTCCAGGTCTCCAGATCACACTCGTCCTCCATCCAAAACACCAATCCGCCAGGCTCTCGAACCGGAGTATGCCAGGTCCTCCGCCATCCGGAGCGGGGACACGGTCAAGATCTTCCAGATCGTGTCGGGTCCTCTGACAGCCGAAAGCACAGTCACTGCATGATTTTCCGGGCCTTCCAGGCTGCACCGGACCTCCGACGGCCAAAGACCAAGTCCAAGCCGAGATCTTCCAAGCCGGGACAGGACCAGAACTGGACCCTCCAGGGCCAAAAGCCTGGGAGCGAGGCCGGGGGAAAGCAGGGCCAAGGCCCAGGCCTCCACTGCCAGGCTGTCCGGATCCTCCCAGCTACTGCCGGAGGAATCACTGCAGTTGTTAAATTAGTGAATCACTGCAGTTGTTAAATTAGTAACAAGATTGTTAAGTGCATCTGGCTTCCCCATTGACTTTGCTTGTCAGAAGTTGCAAGAGGTGATCACATGACCCCGGAGCACTGCAACTGTCCTAAATATGAACCAATTGCCAAGCATCTGAATTTTGATCATGTGACCATGAGGTTGCTGCTACAATTGTAAGTGTGAAAAATGGTCATAAGTCACTTTTTAAAGTGCCATTGTAACTTTGAACGGTCACTAAACAAATGAGGACCTGTATAACATTTCAACAACAACAAAAGAGGAGAGAGTAAAACATTTTTCTGGGCACATGCAACTGAAAAACGTTATGATAAAGCCACAGAATTTCCCAGCCACAGCCATGATAGGACCATGTGCTGCTATTTGCGGCTCTCATGACTACTAACACAGAAGCTGCTGAAAACATTAAGAAAAAAGTCACATGTAGTATTTAATCTTTGGAAAGCAGCTTATTAAATAGGCAGACCAATTCCATGCTAACATTGTATACTGAAAGGAAACGGCACAGACAGTGGTGGTATTCAACCGGTTCGCACCACTTCGACAGAACTGGTAGCTAATTTTTTGTTGCCCAGGCCCAGAATAGACTTCCGGAAGAGGCATCCACACAGAGAACTGGTTGTTCACATATTAGAATCCCACCATTGGGCACAGAGATACTGTATTCAATGCCTCTAAAATCTGGGATTCGTAAGTGATTAGCATGGCCTCTTAACAGAATAACAGAGTTGGAAGGGACCTTGGAGGTCTCTAGTCTTATCTTCTAGTCCAGAGGTCCCCAACCTTGGCAACTTTAAGACTTATGGACTTCAACTCCCAGAATTCCTCAGCCAGCTTGGCTGGCTGAGGAGTTCTGGGAGTTGAAATCCACAAGTCTTAAAGTTGCCAAGCTTGGAGACCCCTGTTCTAGTCCAATCTTTTGAAACTTCAGCAGTCCTGGCCTTTTCAATGTCACTGCTGTGATATTGGAGAAGGCAGGGCACAAAGTGACGGTCATGACAAGCTTTAGATATCCTTGCTCCCCAATCTCTCTCCTTCCTATCATACCTTCTAATAGCCCTGGATTTCATACATATATGACACTGTACATACATGAAGATTTATTTATTTATTTATTTATATATCCAAAATTGATTTATTTTGGTCTTGTGCGAAGTTTTTGAAGGAGGAAAATTTTAGTATGTTGTGAACATTTTAATTTCCAATGTCTGTGTGTTTTGTTTTTGATGATCTGATAGATTTAATTAGATCTGATTAGTTCTTATATTGTTTTAGGAATAGCCATCTTGACATCTTTTTTAAAAAATAAAACAAAACTCGGACTACTTAGCTTAGTATTTTTATTACTTACTGACAAGAAACTGATCAAGGCTTGGATCTTCCTCAGCCTGCTGCTTTCAATAAAACTGACTCAGCCCCTAAACCTAGAGATTGTTGCATTATCAGAACCACAAAATAGTCACATCCTCTTGCATACAAATACATATTCATATGTTCTCCAACCACTATATGGACAAGCTGAACTCAACAGTAGGAGCAAGGAATGGAGAACACTTCACACAATGTAGTAAGCTGATTGTCCATAAAGAAGGCCAGTTGATTTCAGTACAATGGCCACATTGATTTCTTCCTGATGAAGCAGATTTGATTAAAGACAATCAAAGTTTGACTGGACTAACAAATCTGTCACCATTATATTCTATCTTTCAGTGCCTTTACGCCAAGCAAAAGGACAAAAGGAAAAAATGCTGCGTACTAGAAAAATAATTTATTGTGAGTATATTGTGAACTAACATTATTCAGGTATCACTGAATAATTTTCTTTGAATTACAATGAGTAATTTTTCTTTAGCTTTTTAGTATGTCTCCAGCATTCCATGGAAAAACATAAATGTAGATACTTACATATACATTGGTTGTAGCTGTAAATGTGACGTCTTCTGTGGGCCTTGATAGCCGTAAGAGTCAAATCCACCTATGAAATCAACTGAAAAAGGAAGGTATTTCTTTCATTGCTGAACATCATTCTTTGAAGAGCTAAGTACCATGACTTTAAAACAGCCTTACACAAAGACTACATCGGCTAACAGCTTCTCTTCCTATCTTCAGGAAGGTGCCAGTCACAGATTTATTAGTATTTATCTGTATAATAAAAAATAATTACACATTGCTTCTGCTGCCAGCGAGCAGTCCACCTAGGTGGTGTGTGTAAATTGCTCATTTGCTGAAGCTGCAAACAATGCAAAAACCATTCCTTTGCAACTTTCAAATGTTTTAGCAAGTTGTGATTATTGTATTATATATTTGCTTTCACACTGTGATTCTCTGAAAAAGACATGTAAGAAGGTGGTCAATGCTTTTGAAAAAAATAAAAGGCTTCAGCATGGGAGGAAAGGAGGGAAAGATAGAAAGAGAAAAAAAGAGAAAAAAAAATCACGATTGTAGTGATCCATGGGGAAAAAGCCAAAATCCACAATGAGATGAGAACTTATTAGCATCAACCAAAAAAAAAAAAAAAAAAGACTTAAAAAGCATTTTGGTTTTGATTTCTCCAAAACTTTTAAACAGGCAAGGAAATAGGGAAAAGAAAAAAAAAAGTCCATGCATTTAGACTATAAGGTCAGTAGAATAAAATCCCAAAACATACACCCATATTAACTGTATTGATAAATATTAATACTAACAAATGCTTTATATAAAAATTGCTATTTTTCTCACTTTTAAAAACAAATATATTTAGTTCAGCCTATCTCTTACCAGAGATAATTTGGCCTAGCATCAAGGAATCTCCATATGTTGATTGGTATTAAAGACTGTGTAGACTGAATATAGGGAATCTCTGGTCTTTCAGAAGTGGCTTTCAGAACGTCAATTCCCAGAATTCTTGCATGTTGGCCAAATATCATAAAGAACTGAGAGCCCAATTTGTGAAGGAGATTCCCAAGGAGACATGCCTAACCTTACATTTTCTTTGACCCAGCACAATAAGTTAACACATTTTGTATAGTAATTGTATGGATAACCCTGTTAAATTGCAATTTTATCTCTTCCCTTAGCTTGACTTGATCTTCTTTTCAGGCACTTTGCTTTGGGTAACTCTGAATATTCCAAAACATCACACGTTCCCTGATCTGATGGCACTAAATAGCACAGGGCCATAGAATCGTGCCCAATATCCATAAACCACATTATAGTACCATGTACTCAGTCTTGTCAGTCCTTACATAGAGTCCAGCCTGAAATAATTTTTTATTTTGATGTCTTGAACATATTCCCAATTGTTGTTCTTACCACTAGGCATTTTAGCTTGGAAGAGCCTAAAAAGCTGCAAAAAGTTTCATCAGTTCCTTTCTAATAACACAGATATAGAATAAATACCAACAGATGCTCTAACTCCTAAACTGATTTATCAAAACTGCTTTAGAATTTTGCTTTGTATCTTGAAAAATAATCATCCAATATCACTACTAATTAAGCTTCTCCTTTCAGAAAAAGCATAAAAGTGCTAAGATATCTTCTCACTATAAAACATCAAAGGCTTAGAAATACTTTTAAAAGAAGGAATTATATTAAATCTCATGAAGCCCCCAAATCTATCAATCAGGCTTATCTGGAAGTAAGCCTGATTGATGATTACACTGAGGGTTTGGTTCTCTTTACACTAGAATGCAGCAAATATAAATTAGGAAATAGAAGATTCAAGCATGCTAGTACCTGGATATATAAATTGCCCTTAACTACATTTCACATGCAAAAGGTGATGCATGAACATAATATAATCAACTTCTTACAGTTCCCCTAGATTTTCCTAGCACTGTTTCTTCCTTTTTGCGAATTATAAAACCTTAATTATAAAGGGAAATGGAGAATAGCATGCAATCACTATTTTTGCTCAGCCTCATTCCTGCTTTGGGGAATGTTGTGTTGGCAAGCCAACATAATTTCATTCTCTTATCTAGATTTGCCTCTTACTTCTGTTAAACATAATAATAATAATAATAATAATAATAATAATAATAATAATAATAATAATAATAATAATAATAATAATAATAATAATAATAAAGTTGGAAGGGACCTTGGAGGTCATCGAGTCCAACCCCCTGCTCAGGCAGGAACCCTACACCATTTCAGACAAATGGATGTCCAGTCTCTTCTTAAAAACTTCCAGTGTTGGAGCATTCACCGCTTCTGGAGGCAGGTTGTTCCACTGGTTAATTGTTCTAACTGTCAGGAAGTTTCTCCTTAGTTCTAAGTTGCTTCTCTCCTTGATCAGTTTCCATCCGTCCTGAAACTTTCTGAGATGGCGAGCCCTTCTGGAATTTTGAAAACCTGAGGGCTCTTTCACAAAATGGCTGGTTTCAGGACATGCATGCACAGAATGACAGCCATGGGGATGTAAAGAAAGGTCTGATTCAGGATGATGCTACCTGTCAGCCCCTCTATCTCTCCCTCCCTCCTGCAGGATGCTCCAAATTATCTCAGCTTACATTTGTTCTTTTCCTAGTCTGGTGAACATATTTCTAAGCAAAGAACTGGGCTGTAGCCATCCATCTTTTAAAATTTTTCAAATAAAATAAAATAAAATTCCCTTGCAAATGTGATACCAGAAACCAGCAGAAAAAAATCGTGTGAAGAGAGAGTCTAGTAGCACCAAAGGAAATGCTCAATAGACATTGGCACTTCTGGGTGTCACGTAGGCAATTTTTATGTCTTTTAACTACTCAGAATTACAGGGAGTTGGGCAGCATAACAACAGCAACAACAACATAATACTATCCAGTTCTAAATTATGCATGCACTAATTTAGCAGCTTACTAAAGCATCTAGATGATTTGAAGCAGCTCTGGTTCTTAGCAGTAACATTAAATTTTACACTTGGCTAGCAACTGAACTATACAATTTGACTTTGTAACTTGATTTTTTAAAAAATGTATCTGAAATTCCAGCGGAATAGAATTATGCAAGCAAAGCATCAGATTTAAAACATTTAGAGCTAATATAGGTAGACTTCATTAATAACCACAATTGGGACTAGCACTTGGCCACTAGGTGACATGGGCATTAAGTGAAACATCATGTGATCTTACCTGTCTTACGACATCAGTTCCATTACTGTCGTTAATGGAACATATTCCATCGCCTACAAACATTAAGCACATCACATGACCGAGGCTTACAACGTACTGCCAGATTCTCCATTGAGTGTCAGAAGCTGTCTGTGAAGCTCCTAATCACATGATTGTGGGACACTGCAATGCTTTTAAGGGCCAGTCATAAAGCTACTTTTTTAGTGTGGCCCTAATAGTTGCTTACAGGTAGTTGTTAATCAAGGTCTACCTGTAATTCTTAGTAGGGATGTGAACAACCTTTCAAAATGGTACTTTGAAACATGTAAGAAATTCAGCCTCTGCTTGGATTACTAAGACAGCCACACATTTTTCCAGGCTTGCACAGTTACTTAGGAGGCTTCTTCCTGCTGTCTCTGCATACTTGTGTGACAAAGGAATTGTGTATGTCAACACATGTATACTGTGGAGACAGTTGTGAAGAGCTTTTGAAACAGCCACTTGAGTCTGAAAAAGACATAGCTGCTTCCATGATTCAAAGATGGGTGCTTTGCTTGTGCTACTGTTGCACTTTACAAAGCATCTCGTTCAAATGCTTTGCAAAGATGTAATATTTAGTACACTCAAAATGGGGAGATGCATGGGTGGCAGCAAGGCCTTTTTTCCCCACCACAGGTGTGCAAATGCTTCCCAAACAATGAAAGGAAGAAATCTGAAATAGCAACCTAATCTCTGGTGACTTTCACAGGCCAGAGTTTTTGGACAAGAGAAGATGGAAAAGAATAGCTAGTTCAGAGCTGTGTTATTTCTCTGATCCTCTTGGATGAGAACAGCAGGAAGCCTTCGCGTCTTGTAACAACAAAGAAATTGCTGAGCTGAATTGTGAATTTTCTCCCTACATTGCTCACTTTGCAATCCAGAACAGTAAGAGACAATGGAAAAAGGGCAGTAGGGCACTTTAAAAATCTATCTGTCCACTTTTAGACAAAACAATATATAAAAAACACCAGCCACTGTGATGTAAAGCCTGGAATGATATTAGGGAGGCAGGAAGAAAAGGAATTGTCCTCTCCCTGCTTGCACTGGTGTAGACAGAGCATACCCAATAGATATTCATACTAAGCACTACATCAATCATTGTGCGAAAAGTCTATTGCAATTCCATTTGTAGGATCCAGGGGAAAAGCAATTAGTGTGTAACTCTAGGATTTTGTAGCCTTCCATCTGGAAAAATCCCATATTAGGTTGAAGTGAAGGATTAGCTGCTTTCTGGTTAGGGGATGAAACATCCATTCCATACAGGTTAAATAAATAAAAATATTGTTTGATTGCAAATATATTTCATTTGTTGTAATGACTATTAAGCATCTATGCATTTTTACAGAAATTCTTATTAAGCCACCCATCCTAAAACATGTATACATTTTCTCAGATACACAGAATTAATTTCTTACAATCCTGTGTCAGATAATTCAGATTAATGGTGAGAATGATGAAAATAAGGCTGGAACTGAAGAGATGAACCCCCCCAAATGTAAGAAAATAAACAACCTCAGAGGACTTATTTAGAGTGTATCTATCAATGTGTTTTACTAAATTATATCTGTAAAAGACTCAAACAAATATCAAGCTGTGGATTCTATTACAGGGCCCTTGTGGCTTTTGTATACTTTGCAATGGCCTATTTTAAAAGCAGAATCTTTTCATCTTTCAGATGGAGAAAAGGATGAATTCGCATTACTAGTTCCTGTACTGATGATTTCATTTAAGAAATGTAGCCACTGCAATTTTTTTTCACTTGATTTTAGATCAAATGGAAATATTCTGACTGTAATGGCTGAATTAGATTGGAAAATGTTATATAATTACATCTGTTAAAGGTGCTGGAACTCACACGTGTCATACAACCCACCTTGCC